TATATTTTAAGGATACAGTGATTGCGGAGAGGAACTTTTGTTACCAGTCAACAGCCACATTTCTCTCTGGTCCTCAGGCTCTCAGATGAGTCCTTGACCTCTGCACTCCAGGAAACCCATTACTACTCTACCTCACTGCTCCATGATCTCAGAGGTGAAGCTCCTCTGCACTGGTGCCTCTGCTGTCTCTTTCACTTCAAACAGGGATCTCATATGTGTTCCACTGATGACTTTTCTTTCCTGATGGCTTCAGGATTTTCTCTGTCCCTGTTCCTGAGATTCTTCTCTTATACGCAGAATGGTAAAACTAACCAGTCCTTCGGTTAGAGCCCTCTACCCCTTATTTTCATGGTTCACACAATCATTTGGCAGGAGTTATAGACAAATAGAAAAGCCATAAGTGATTGCATTTTATTACTCTGGCTCTTCTACCTATTCTCTCTTTCATTCATGCAGAATTAATGTCCTCTCCCTTTCAGTTATATTTTCTAAAATTATGATTTTTGCACTCACAGTTAACCCTGTTAACAGTCATATATAATCCTGAGTCATATAATTCTATCAGCATCTTTCCCCACCCTCTTTTCCCCAGACCCATCAAGAAAAGAAATTATTCATTGGGGATCACATCTTGTCTTACTCATTTTGAGACTAAGCACATACACGAACACTTGTAAGATAGCCACCTCATACCTTTATCATCTTATTTTAGACATCCAATTTCTAAATTGCCCATCACTAAGAACTCAGTACTCCAGGAAGGCAAGCATGTCTAGTTGGAACCTTAAGTATCTACATTCATAATCAGAGTTCAATATACAGCAGGTCATTTGTCAAGACTGCAGCAATGTATACAATCTCAGAGGGTCAAATATATTTCTCTTCATCCAGTCTGCTTCTGTTCAACACAGCCTAGCCATCCAAGCTAGGTCAAAAAGGCTCCAGTAACAAGCTTTGCACTTCACATACCTCCCTATTGTTCAGTCCATCTGACCCTATCACCCTAGTCCCCTGGGGCTAAGTAATGCTCATTGGCTCCGAATTCACACAATTGTTTAAACTTCAGGTCAACATGTGCCAGTGTGGCATGTTCAAACCTACCCCATATCTTCACTGTTGCATTTTCCCCACTTCCAAAAGGGTTAGGACAAAAAGAGGAATGGGAACCGGAAGAATAGATAGAAAGAGGAGATTCCAATGAGTGAATTGAAACAAAATGTATGAGTTGTTGAATGTAAAACAGATCTGTTTTATAAATGTTCACCTTAAGGGAAAAAGGGGCACCAAAAAATAAAAAGGAGAAAAGAATATTAAATGTTAGTAAACAATTTTTAAGCCTAGAATAATGATCAAATTTCTAGAAACACATGTCATACCTAAGCTAACAAACTGAGTTTGAAACTTTGAATTGGCCCATTAAAAAAGAGGAAATTGAACAGACCATAAGAAAACTCCAACAACAACACAAACAGTCCTAGTCCACATGATTTTACTGGCAAATTCTTCCAAACAGCAGGAAAAAGCTGACACCAATTCTACTCACATTATTGTAGAATATCGAAAAGGAGGCAATACTACAGGTTTCATTTTATGAAGTGAGCATAATCTTCACCACTTTAGGTGGCCAACAAACAGAAGAAATGCTGTGATCTAAGTTAGGTGCCAGTAAGTTGGTTCCAACACATAGTGATCCTATGCACAACAGAAAGAAACACTGGCCTGGTTTGCATCATCTTCACAAGTGTTCCTCCGCTTGAGCTCATTCTTACAGCCACTTTGTCAATCTATCTTGTTAAGGGTCTTCCTCTCTTTCACTGCCCTGTACTTTACCAAGTATGATGTCCTTCTCTGAGGACTAGTTTCTCCTGACATGTCCAAAGTACAAGGGACAAAGAGTCTCCATCCTTGCCTCTGAGGAGCACTCTGGCCATACATTGGAGACAGATCTGTTTGTCCTTTTATCAGTGCATGGTACTTTCAGTAGTCTTCATCAGCACCATAATTCAAATACATCAATTCTTCTCAGCTCTTCCCTATTCAATGTCCAACTTTCACATGCATATGAGGCCATTGAAAAATACCATAATTGGATCAGGTGCACCTTAGTTCTCAAATTAACACCCTTGCTTTTCAATACTCTAAAGAAGTTTCATGCAGCAGATTTCCCCAATGCATTGTACCTTCATTTGCATCTCATAAGCCTTTAAAGAGATACAAACTAATACAGCAGTGAAATCTCAGCTCACTCCAGCCATTAATAGCACAGTTCTGAAAACAATAAATGGTGGTGAGGGTGTGGAGAGACTGGTACTCTCATATTACTGGTGGGATTGTGAAATAGTACAAAACTATGAAAAACAATGTGGTGCTTCCTTAAAACGTGGAACTAGACATACCATATAATCCAGCAATTCTATTGTTATGCAAAACCCTGTGAATTGTAACAGGAATAGACGAACACCCATGTTCATCACAGCATTATTCACAATAACAAAGGTCAAACTAACCTAAATATTCATCAATAGATGAACAGAAAACTAAACTATGGTACATAGACACAATTGAATAATGTAATATTAAAGAATGATGATGAGTCTGTGCAATGCCTCATAAAATGGATAAATCTGAAGGATATTATGCTGAGTGAAACTATTGTCACAACAGGAAAAATTTTGTATGAGAGCACTAGTATTAAGTCATGTAAAGATTTTTAACCCAGTTTGCACAAGGCTATGGGTGACAGCGGAAGTCTAATATCCACTTACAGAGTTCCCACAGGGAAAAGTGAATAGCCTTGTGATCAGACAGAGCTTTGTAACATCGATTATGGCAGATATAGTTAGGTTAAAATGCAGCACCTTATCATTTCATCTCCCTTGTGACTCATTTTAAAGTTGTTTTGGTTTTTAGTATTTTCTGTTTTATTTTTGATTGAGGTTTATCTCTGCTTCATTTAGTCAGTGTTGGTTTTTTGTTTCTTGTTTTTGTTTTGTAACATTTTCTATTTATAAGATTCAGTATAGGTAAATCATAACCAAATACTATGATAAGAAGGGGTTTTTGTGAGCTCTGGACCATAGTCTCAGGGAACACAAAGATCAATTGGCTAGATATAGTCCACCATGTTCAACATTTTTCATTGGTGATTGGAAATGGTCTTAAAAGCTTGTGAGCAGACATCTAAGTTGCAGCTCTTGGCTTCCCCCAATCCAAAGCAAAGCAAAGTGAAAAAAATCAAAGATGCATAGAAGTATTATGGAAATGGGCTAAAGAACTACTAGAACCTCAGACTCCATGAATCTGAGATCAGAACTACATGGTGCCTACAACCATGTTCTCTGAAAAGGATCACACTATGATTTCCTGGAAAAAAGTGTAGAACAAAATTCAAAATCATTAAAAAAAAAAGCAGGCTTACTGGTTGGATGGAGACGGTAGGACCGCCAAGACTATGACAAGCCTCTGAAGAAGAAATTGAGGTTGGGAGAAACCTTGCTTAATGTAACACCAAGCTAATAAGTTGAGCTTGAATTTGAGTCCAAATCTAGATTATCCCTCAACCAATACCATAACCCATGGTTCTATTAGATAAAGAAAACATAGGAAAGGAAACAAATAGGTTTGAACTTGTAACCATGTTATGTTTTTAATTAGGATTTGAGCAAGTAACATAGATTGTTTCCTTTCGTCCTCAAAACAACCCAGAGAGGTGAAATGTGTTTATCTACATTTTACAGGTGAGGAGACTGAGGCTTAGAGAAGTAAAATTTTTCTCAGAGATGTTAAATTACACCTGATAAGAGCCAGACACGTAAATTCAAGCACAGGTCTGTCTGATTCCAACGTTCATATCTGCTCTGCAGCAATGTTTCCTGTTCATCGATATTCTTGATGTGAAGTAAAGGCTTCCCATAAATTAGGTCTGTCTCTTTTGATCCTGGAACCTGATTTTGATCTCCTGCTCTATCTTTCTCAAGAGTCCAACAAGATGCTTCTACTTAGGTAGAGCTAGGCCTATACTTAGCACTTCCCTGCATAATTTTGGCTCAGCACTGCTGCCTTCCATTAACCATCCAAACTAGAGGAGTTACTAGCCAGCTTCGGCAGATTGTTCTTCCACCACAGGCTTTTTAAATGAAGCCACTCATAATGTCAGCACTTTCCATCGGTGAACCAGAACAGTTTAAGCCAGGTTTCTCATACTTTGCTGTATACTAAAATCACTTGGGGAACTTGTAAAACTCTGACGCCCCTGGTAGTACCCCAGCCATTATAATCTCTGGGGATGGTGTCCCAGACATCCGTAAGCTTTAAAATTTCCACAGGTGACTTCATTGTGTAGCTAAGATTGAGGACAACTGTTAAGGCATCTTCTTTAAGCACAGGCAGCCATAGTCACAGTTTTTTCACATTTTAGTTCGTATGGGAACTTTTTGTAGTGCTTTCTAAAATTCAGATTTCAGGACTAATACCCAGAGAGTCAGTGTTTTAGGTCTAGACACATATTTTTAACTATCACCCCAGACAGTCTGCTGCAAGTGTTTTTCAGACCACACTTGGGAAATGCTACATTAGAACTATGAAAATGAGATGGGAAAAGAGGTTCTTAGCCCTTTAAGGACTGATTAAGAAACTACCTTTAAAGCTGTGGAGAAGGGCAGGTAAAGGCTGCTTTTGTTCATTTTAGTGGATAAGAGAGCAGGTCCTGGAATGGACCACTCCTTTTATATTACCTCAGCCTTTGAATAATACTATCTTGTTCCCAGTCCTGGAGAGCAGGGATGTGGCACATGATGCCCTGGCCCACCTGTAGTATTTGTTTGTTTTAATGCAAAATGGCCAAGTTAAGATACCTCCTCTTGTCCAGAAGGTCCCCCTAGAGGAAGAGACAGGGCCAGCTTGCCTGTCTTTCCTTTTTTCTTGCCCCTTCCTTCATGGTTGTGGAGCCAGGATACAATTACTTGGATAAGGATTAGAGCTTGGGCTGCCGCCTGTTGCTGAATGCCAAGTCTTTCAAGATGGTCCTCCTCAGCATCCTTAAGACCATTCTTCTTTGGAAACTAATAATTTTTATGGAACACAGAGTCCAAATGGCAAGAGTAGGACAGCCTCTCCTGGCGGAGGGCCCTGCCTTGCCCCTGATTCAGGAGCTGTTAGAAGAAGCCCCTAGCAGGCAGCAGAGGAAGCCACGATTCCTAGGACACTCCCTGCAGTATATGCTGGAATTATACCAACGTTCAGCTGACCCGTGGGGGCACCCTAGGAAGAACCGTACCATTGGGGCTACAATGGTGAAGCTGGTGAGAACTTTGGCCAGTGTAGCAAGGCCACTCGGAGGTGAGTTATCCTTCCCTCATCCTGCCCTGGAGGGGAGAAAAGTGGAGGATAGTGTAGATAAAATGGAATTTATGCATTTATAAATCCAAACTCATAGCTCTCTAATCTATTCTGACTCATGGGGATACTATATAGGATATTTACAGGAGCAGATATCTTCATTGGCCTCCCAAGGAGTTGCTGGTGTGTTTGAACTGCAGACCTTGCGATTAGCAATCCAATACTTAGGTTTATAATCAGGCTTTATTTCCTAATGGACAGTGTTTTCTCAGGGCTGGTTTTCACAGGATGGCCAGGTTAGGAGGAGATGGCTCCAATTTAAGAATAGATTGCCTTGCAACCTACCTCAGGAATGCATCCCAGGCCCTGGGATGACTTAAGTGATGCTGGCATGTATCTTTAAAATAAAGTCAGTTGTTTGTTATGTCACTGAAAGCTAACTGAGAAATATGAGTGGCCTTCAAAAAGTTATTGAGAAAATTAAATTAAAATATGAAAAATTTCCAAGAACTTATGGTGGGCTTCTTGTGTGTTATTTTACTCTCGAAGGCAAAAGTGATAGTGTTGATCTGGAGAAACACACGGCCTCAGAAATACAGAAGCCGTTAATATCTGCGTAGCTGTGTACCTGGCTCTGTGGGCATCTGCTATTGTATTATAACCCTTAATGATAGCTACCATTTTCATTAACTTTCGGGGGGGGGGGGCGGAAATTAACCTAATCTTTGAAGATAACAAAACTGAAGCATGTAGTAAATGACAACGATCATAGATATTTGGGGATCTTTTACTTTATCCTTGTCATGCTTGATTCTACTTTCAACATCTGCACTAGACACTATTCTAAGACAGCAGTAGGCTCTTGACGTATAGAGCTCTCTATAGGACAGGGTACGATTGCCTGTGTGAGTTTGTGAGACTGTATCCCTTTTCATGAGGGTAAAAAACATCATCTTTCTCCTGCAGAGTGGGTGGTGGTTGCAGTTAGCCACATAATGCGTAACCACTACACCATGAGAACTCTCTACACCACCAGAACTCTTATAAAAGGAAACAGACTTGGGTTCAAATCCTGACTCTATAGCACACTGACTGTGTGTCCTTTAAACATAGTTTCAGACTCTCACTTTCTTTGTAAAATGGGGTTAACTATTTCATAGTACCATTGAGGATTAATAGGAGCCCTGGTTGCGTAGTGGGTATAGGTTGAGCTGCTAACAAGGTCAATAGTTCAAAACCATCAGCAGCTCTGTGGGAGAAAGATTGGGCTTTCTACTCCTGTAAAGAATTACAATCAAAAACTCCCAGGGGCACTTCTATCCGGTCCTATAAATTCGCTGAGTCTTCATTGACTTGATGGCAGTGAGGGTTTTGGGGTTTTTTTGCTTTGTTTTTTTGGGGGCGGGGGGGTTGTGTGTGTGTGGTTTGGGTTTGGGTTTATTGACTGAAGAGCTAATATATGTAAAGCTTCTAGTACTTTAGTAAATAATCAACAAATGATGGTTATTATCCCAACCGTGAGTTAATTTGGGGGCTCATTAGTTTTCAATCTGAGTTGATCAGGTTTGTGACGGAGATTCAGATCAGGAGGTGAGAAGCTAAACTCTCTTGTTTCCTTTTACTTATTCAGGCTCCTGGCATGTGCAGACCCTGGATTTTCCTCTAAGACCAAACCGAGTGACTTATAAACTAATCAAAGCCACTGTGGTTTACCGCCATCAACTCCACCTATCTCACTTCCACTTCTCCTGTGTTGTGGAGCCCTGGATCCAGAAACGTCTAACAACCCATTTTCCTTCTTCAGGAAGAGGTTCTTCAGATCCTTCCCTTCTTAACAAAGCTTGGACAGAGATGGACATCACAAAACATGTTCAACAAAGGCTCTGGAATCACAAAGGGCACAAGATCCTACGACTCCTTTATATGTGTCAGCTGCAAAAAGGTAGTGAGATTATTGAGCCCCAGTGGCAAGGGACCTCATCGATGGACACTGCCTTCTTGTTACTCTATTTAAATGATACCAGTAAAAGTGTTCAGAAGGCCATGCTCCCCCAAAGCCTAGAGGAGTTTATGGAAAGAGAATCCCCTCTTCTATTGCGGAAGTCCCGGCAAGCTGACAACCTTGCATCTTGGGTTCCTGGCTCCTCCTGGAGCTATGATGAGCCTGAACAGAACCAGTGTTCCCTCCACACTTTCCAAGTCAGTTTTCACCAGCTGGGATGGGACCACTGGATCATTGCACCTCATCTCTATACCCCGAACTACTGTAAGGGAGTCTGTCCTCGGGTACTACGTTATGGTCTCAATTCCCCCAATCATGCCATCATCCAGAACCTTGTCAATGAATTGGTGAACCAGAGTGTCCCTCAGCCTTCCTGTGTCCCCTATAAGTATGTTCCCATGAGCATCCTTCTGATTGAGCCAAATGGGAGTATCTTGTACAAGGAGTATGCGGATATGATTGCCCAGTCCTGTACATGCAGGTGACAGCAGCCAGTCAAGGTTTCCCAAAAAACATAGGTTAAAAAATAAACAATTATTGATGTTAAAACTGCAAGTGTACCTTTACCCAATCCACAGGTTCTGTTCCTTGCCTTAAATGGAGTTATTTAAGCCTCTCTTTTTTATTTTTGAGCTCTTTGGTATTACAAGAGTTTTTATATACCAATCTCCTAACATGGATAAGTACTTTTTGACCACTATCAGAGCTCTTAATAATTGAGTTCAATGTTCCTTTGAAGACGATTTCTCTATTTTCTAGTCTCTTTTATTGTGATTATATCAAAAGTCACCAGTGTATGGGGGTAGAGCTTAAAAAAAATGATCTCACCAAGGCCTGGGAAAGGATAATGCTTCCTGGCGTGCATCCTCTGGAACTCTCTAGAAGATGTGGGGTGAAGAAAATAGTTTGGGATTTTTATACTCTTTCCTTTCCTCCTAAGGAGCCCCAGGGTATTATCAGATAAGGGCTGTATTTCTAACCACAAGGTCTGAGGATTCTAATTCATTAGCTTCTCTGCAGGAGAAAGATGAGGCTGGCTTTTCCTGCAAAGATTTACAAGGCCTTGAACCCTATGGGTCAAGAGTTCGCTCAATAAAAGTGGGCTGGGCAGGCTCCTTTACTTTTCTATCCAAGAATCGAGTACCTAATCTGAAAGACTCACAGGACCTAGAAAACTTTCAAATGTCTCCATAGAAATATTTTGAAGGAAACAGAAAGATGTAAGTGTTTTTCTAAGCTTTTCCTCTTGATGTCTGAAGCTGGAATAATATTTAAGGTTCCCTATGTGCAAGAAAAGGACAATATCCTTTAGTAATGCTGTCTGAGATGGCAGTGGCGTTAAAACCAGCTGTGGTGAGAGGGAAACAAGGTGTCATTGCTGATTAGGATCATGTATAGGGGGTATCATTTAAAACTTTTTATAGCGTTACATTTCACAGGGTATTTTGAACACATATCTTTGTCTTGCAGAGACAATTCCCTTGGCTGCTCAGTGTAGAAATTGGTGCAGTTGTGTATATGTGGCCCTGGTGGTGTATTGGGCTGCAATTTGCATGGTCAGCAGTTCAAAACCCCCAGCAGCTCTGCAGGAGAAAGATTTGGCTTTACTCCCATAAACAGTCACAGAAACTCACAAGGGGTCACTATTAGTCAGCATTAACTCAATGGCAGTGAGGTTTTTTTAAGCAGGTGGTAGTGATGGGAGTAAAAGTGGGGAGGGAGTAAAGTGTAACAGGGAATCTTGAAGAGCTGTAAAGGGAGAGTATAACATGCTCAAGCTCGGGGCAGATTTCACTTTGGGCTTTTGTGCTTCGTGTGTTCAATGTGGCTCTGAGCATGGGTCTCTGGAGGGTCTCCTATTGTCTTTGGGAAACCTGGAACTCTGCCCCAACTGAATGATGCATGCTTTCCCCTAGTGCTGAACTGCGTTCTAAGTTTGTTAAAGAGAAATTTGAATGTTTTGAGGGTTGGAGGAGAGTGGATGGGAGGATTTAAAAGAACAGTTTTTCCCTCTGGTTCCTTTAGCTATGACCCTAGGCACTAGGCCAAGACCCTCCCCTACAAGGCAGAGCTGGAGATTTCTTAGAAATTCTGCTCTTTAAGGGTGACTAGCAGGCAGCACTTCTAATGATGAACCTCACCAAAGGGTAAGAGAGTCTTATTCTCAGGGAGATAAGATCAAATTAAACTGGGTTACATGTTTATCAAAAGTAAATCATTTCTCCCTGTCAATCATAAATGAGCTTATGCCATGACTCCACCCTCAACAATTAGGTCCATATCTTTCAAGTCTGTAAGTACAAAATTTTATTCTGCCTAAGGAGCTGTTTCTCAACATCTTTTTCTCTATATACCACCTTTACTGCATCTTTTTAGAAGCACTTCGAGTATATCTTCATTTTCTAAAACTCCCATGACACTCTAGAATCAGAGGGTACCCCTCCACTATGCTTACATAGCAATCTGTTCTTTCACACAACCTAGCATAACTTTTTTTCTCTTTAAAGGTCTCATGTTTATTATATATATTTTTGTGCTTTGGGTGAAAGGTAGAGAGCAATTTAGTTTTCCATTCAACAAATTGTATACCATTTGTTTCGTAGTATTCGTTGTAATTCCCTCAATGTAGCAGTACCATTTCTGTTTCTCCCTGCATGCCCCATATTCATTCACTCCTCTTTCCTGTTCCTTTCTTCCAAGTTTTGTTTTGGGGAAAATGCTGCCCTTTTGATCTCATGATTGGTTGTTCTGAAGAATACGTTCCTCACAAGTGTTCTGTTCACTTTATAAGCTTTTCTATTGTTGGCTGCAAGGTGCAGGCTTCAGTCCAAGTGGTTCATTAGGACTAATTGTTTCCTTGAATCTTTTTTATTGTTTGTTTTCCATGCCTTTTAACCTCCATATGGGAAGAGACCAACAGTTGGCCTTTACTGTCTTTCAGCTTTTAAGACCCCATTTGGTACTCACCATAGTAGAGTGTAGAACATTGTCTTGATGTAATATGTTATCCTATTGAATTAGCTGTTCCCAAACAAAAGTCAAAATCATGAAGACTTAATGGTCTGACAAACTATTTGAATGCAGAGAATGTGGCCCTTAGACACTCTTCAAACCTAGACTTGAAACCACTCCTGAGATCACCTTGCAGCCAAAAACTAGACAAACCTATAAAGTGAACAATAACACTTGTGAGGAACCTACTTCTCAGAATAAGCAATCATGAGATCACACGGGCAGCATTTGCCCCAAAACAAAGCTCAAAAGGAAGAAAGTTGCAGAAAATGGGAGATGGATATTGGGAACCTTGCCGGGGTGGGGGTGGGGCGCCAGAAGAGTGCTGCTTGCATTGAAGGATTTGCAACTAATTGCTATTGAAAGAAATGTATGCGTAGACTGAGATGGTTTGGGTTTTCTGTATTTTAAAAAACCAATGTGGGGAATATTTGGCTATTATATTTTCAAATATTCATTATGCTGCTTTTTCTCTCTTCTCTCTGGTACTATGTGCATATTGGTATGCTTGATGGTATCCCAGCAAGTATCTATTTTCTACCATCTCTGTTCCTTCTATTTTTCAGATTAGATCAATTTAATTGACTAATTTGCACCATCATACTTGGTCAGTGTTGTATAAGTAAAATATGTCATCTACAAGAAGGCTTTAAATTTTGTAGAAAATGGAATTAAATGATAATGGAATTCTTTTTATGAACTTAATTTTTTTATTGTAAGTTAGATGTGAGTCTTCATTTCAGATTATCAACATTGAATTTGACTGTTTAAAATACTAATCAATTCCCCAATATTTTACCCTTTCCCAACTCCTTGATTTCTTTATTCCTCATTGTAGATTACTATCTTCCATTTCACCCAAATTAAGACCCATGAACAAACAGTCTAGTCCCTTGCTTTATCTCCCCTCCCTTTCCAGGCCTCTCTTAGAAATAGCTAAAGTCTGTTCCCTTTGGTATGAAAGCTTAATCTGTTGGGTGTTTTTCTCCTTATAACAGTAGTCTCATAACACTTCTCCTTTTCTGATTGACCTAATTTCACTCAACATAAGGCTCTCCAGGTCCATCTATGCCATGAGGTACTTCATGGTTTTTAGCAATGTATAGTATTGTGTTTATAAACCAAAAATTCTTTATCCATTCTTCTACTGATAGGCAGTTAGGGTTTTTTGCATCATCTTGCTAATGTGAACCATGTTGCAACAAACATGGATGTGAATATGTCAGTTCATGTTATAACTCTTTTTGTAAAAACAGGTTTTTTTGACATGTTTTAAAACTGTATTAGTAAATTACTAAAATGAATACAAAGAGCCCTGCTGGTGCAGTACTTAAGCACTTGGCTGCTACATGGGAGGTCATCAGTTCGAACCCAAGAGCTGTTTCCTTTTTAAAAAAAATTGTTTTATTGGGGGCTCATACAATTCTTATCGCAATCCATCCATCCATCCATTGTGTCAGGCACATATGTACATTTGTTGCCCTCATTGTTCTCAAAACATTTGCCTTCTACTTTAGCCCTTAATATCAGTTGCTCATTTCCCCCTCTCCCTCCCCCCTCCCGCCTCCCTCATGAACCCTTCATAATTCATAAATTATTATAGTTTTGTCATAAATTACACTATCCGACGTCTCCCTCCGCCCTCTCCTCTGTTCTCCATCCTCCAGGGAGGAGGCAGTTTTTAAAACAGTTTTGTTGGCACTTTATCCATATATCATATAATTCAATAGTTCAATCATATCAAGAAGAATTATACAATCTTTACCACAGTTTTAGAACATTTTCTTCTTTGTACTCATTGTTATTTGTGTAATTTTTTTCAATTTTGGCAAAAATATATACAAAACATTCTCAAATTCAATTTTGACTCATTTCTTTAGGATATGTACTGAACAGAGGGATTGCGGGATTATATGGTATTTTATGGTATATTATATGGTTGTTTAAGGTAGTGCTGTACATATTTACAGTATCACCAACAATGTGAGGAATTTAAACCCTACACATCCCCTCCAGTATTTGTTCTTTTTTTTAACTTGACATTCATTGTGGGTGTAAGATATTTATACACATATCTCAGCATTGTTTTGATTTGCATCTCCTAATGGCTAGTGATTGTGAACATTTCTTCATCTGTTTTATAGCTATTTGGATGGCATCTTTGATAAACTGTTCATGCCCTTTTCTCACTTTATAATTGGGGTGTTCATCTTTTTCTTATTGAAGGGTTGCAGTTTTATATAGATTTTATAGATTGGTCTCATTCTTTTGTGTCATTGTGAAAAATATTTTCTCACTCTCTGGGTTCTTTTTTCACTCTTGTGATATTCCTTTGACGCACATAAGTGTCTTATTTTAGGGAGTACAAATCCTTTATTTTGTCATCCATGTGTGCTTCCTTTGCTTTAATTGATAGTGTGTCTATGCCCTGCATACACGCATTTGTCTTTATTTTCCTGGTGATCTTTTTTTTTTTTTAAGATATTTTATTAGGGGCTCATACAACTCTTGATCCATACATCAATTGTGTCAGGCATACTTGT